TTGGGGCAGTCGCGTATCAGCCACCAACCGTCCTCTCCGTCCTCCGGCATGTCACAGTTTTCAGTGTTATTTCTGGAGTTTGTGCGCGCGCGGAGGGCAAGCGTTGTAGGTAGACGGGATCCCCTCGCCGCTTTATGCGGTGATACGATGATGGATCGTCCGTGCCGTCCAATTAATTCCTCTATTAGGACCCGTAGATCCGGATCGGATCGGATCCGATCGGATCAGACGGCCAGTCTCTCTTAGGCTCGATTCACTTAAGGCATGGAATACACACCCCATTATAATAAAAATACATACATGATTGCTAGCAAGAAAACTTGCAAATAGCGCTGGATATATAAAACTAGGAAGCATAGCATCGTCACAGTCTAACGGATAAACAATGGTACGGAAATGTACAGAAATGTAAACAAAGTTTGTATTATTATTAAAATCTCTATAAATATATCTTATAATTGTGATGTCGCATATGTCTAATGATCATTTTCATTTATGCATTCAAATTGATCATTTATCATCCGCCATTGACTTTTTTTTTTAGTTTTTCAATGGTCTCTCGAAACCGCTAAAACTCCTTCCCAAAATTCACTCCATTTTTCATTTCGTTAATACAAATGAAAATGTTATTTGAACCATTCAAATCGGACGCTCCGCCTTTATCCCAAAAACTAAATAAGCATTTTTGTCACTTTTTGGTCCTATCTCCGAAGCTAATAAGAGCACGTCCCCCATGAAAACCGATTCGAATGTTTTTCGAATTATTCAAATAGGTTAATCCGAATTCGTCGGCAAAAATTAGTATTCACACACCTTGTTGTGTTTAACTAATTGTTCAGGAACCTTAGAAAGTTGAAGATATATAATAATTTTTATTTTTGATTTTTTTAAACTTACTACCCAGTTAAGTTAATAAACTTTACAATTACAGAATTAATATTATAAAATTTATTGTAGATACTCGCTTTAGTTTCATAATAGATCATGTCATGAAAACAATAAAAATTCAGAATTCGATAATTGATCTTTGGTACTAGTAAAAATACATTTTCTGCTGTAATTAATTCATATTACTTCTACGATAATTTTTAGAAATGTTAAAATTTATAAAATATAATTTAGGCAAGTTATCCGAAAAGCTTTGTCAACTTTGAGTTATAAATGTTGTTACAGTACTATTTGACAGATTTCTATATCAATGATTAATATTTAGTTCGTCAATTTATATAAATATACATTACCACTAGTACTAATTTTTAAAAACACTAGTAATAATTTTTAAGCTTTTCTATATTTTACAGATACAATCAAATAACTAGTGGTGTATGCTGGAACTTCCCGTACCGTAACGAAATGTTCGAAGAATATTAAATGTTTAAATGAATATCAAATAGATTATTATAAATAAATACTGTAACATTGCGTAATATTTATAGGAATTATATAAACTGAATTTCAAAATTGAAAATATTTGTTTAAAGTATATTAGAACTTAAGTCAGAATTACAATAAAAATCTGAATTATTTTCTATATAAACAAAAAATTTGAAACAAAAAAAATTGAAACAAAAATATTATTTTTCCAAAAGCAAATATTTTTGTTAAAACAAGCAGACAGTTCTTTAAATCATTCAAATCGGAAGCTTAGTTCTCTCAATAACTGCCATTTTTTGCACATTTAGCTCTGTATCTCCGAAACGGCTGGACCTGCCTTTGCCAAAAACTAATCAGCACATCTCCCTCACAATAGGAATCGAATGTTTTTTTGAATCATTCAAATAGGTTAATCCGTGCGCCCGAAAACGTAGATGAAAATTGTATCCATACATTCATACACACACACATCTATTTTTTTCTGAAGTATGCCAAAATGTTCAGAAACCTTCAAAACTTGAAGAAATATAAAAATTTTCAATTTCGATTTTTGAACGATTACAATAACTTAACTAACTCTACGGGAATAATAATAAAGAGCCAATGCACTTCTGACTGCAGTAAAAAATCTCAAATTATTAAAGAATAAATTTTGATTAAAATAAGTAAATAAATGGTGTAATAACGTTTTGACAGCTTGCAGGCCGTGTGCTTCGAGCCTTAACCTACGGCGTTTCAGCCCTCGAGTGGGGGGCGCAGAAATTCGCCCCATGACAGTGTGCACGCACACGACAGCGTCGAGTCGAGCTCTCGGGTCTGACGTGCCGAAAATGGAATTGCTGTGCATGGCGTGGAATTTACGTAATTCAATTACGATTTCTTATACAAGAGCCTAGGCATCACACTCAAGGGAGAAACATAGATATCTATATATAGACAAAGAATATTTTATTTACTCAACGTGGTTTCAATTAATATTAAATTGTTAGCAACAGCTTTATATATGTGAATCATTATTTATAACATATTTTGAAACAACCGCGATTCTCAAAAACTGGTCGATATTTTAACAAGAAGTATATAAATTTTGTCAATAATATATAGAGAAAATGTGGACAAAATAGTGTATATGGACAAATGACACAGTGACTTTATTTAAAAATTGACTAGTTTTGTTAACGTTTCCGAGACTTTATCATGAAAAAAGCATATAGCAATTCTGTCAGATGTTGAGCGTCATTGTCACAGTCTTATCGCAGTAATCAGTTCAAACGTGTTTCACGCCTTGAAAAGTTTATTTTGAGAGTGTTTTTCTCATGTTTTTTGGGAACCTATTTCTTGATATTCGTAATTATTTCAATTAAGAATAATTAACATTTGACAGCTCTAGTGATTTCAATTAATTTTATTGCAATAATTTCAGATAAAATGAAATACTTATATAATGCAACACAGGGCCAAGAAAAAAATCTGTCAAAGGTAATTGGCTTTCAATTTCTTCTTCAAGTATTTAAAAAAAATCATTGCTAAAGATAGACCAAAAGATCCATCGGTAAAAAGAAGAAACTTTCGCATTTGTTGCAAAACCTTCATGTGCTAATGTCCCAAAGAAAACAAAACTATTTATTTTTGAACTTATTTCTTAAAAATTAGCATCTCAGTATGTCTTTGCACTACATGTCATTTTGTCCGTACTATAGGGATATAATAATTTTTGTAGGTTGCACTTTTTCTTTAAATATGTTAATGCTGTCCCTACTTAATTATAATACTTTTTACTAGTATTCATTAAACTAAAAAATAAATAAAAATAATTGAGACTGTTTATAATATAATTAAAAAACAAAACCCGTGTCATTTTAGACGTACTTCTCCTAGTATTTATATTCCAAGTTTTAACATTTTTGTATGCAAAGTAAGATAGCTGATCACAAAAATTATGAAGTTAACACGTTAATTTATTGAAAAATATTATATAGAGAAAACAGTCTGTACTGAAATCACGTTTTGGGATAGAGAACAAAAGTATGATTATATCAAAAAATGACAGTCCACGAACAATATAACGAGCAACCATGTGCAGATATGTGAGCGAAACCATTTTGATCTAACGCGTAGTTGCGTACGAGGGGCTGGAAAAAATAACACCCTAATCCCTCGGCTGGATTGAAATGTTTCGAAAAAGCCGATGGTCGGAAAAAATGAGATAGTTCTCCTCTCAGGCAACACAATGATGTCTCTACCCAATCCATTATGGGTGCTCCTGCGTCTCGCTTCCATTGGCCACGTGATTGGCAAAGCGCCGCCCTCGCGGTCCCGAACGGGACACGTGAATGATATCGTAGAGGCCCGACACATGCAGGCGAGCAGGCGAGCAGCCGCCGCGAGGGCTTCCGTCTCGTTCGTTCTTTTGTCATGTGTTCGCTCTCTGTAGCAGCGCCGGTCGATTCATTCAGGCTCTTACTTTTTAGTGTGCCCACTCCGTTACGCGCGTTACCAGAGACGACGCAGGCGAGCGAGATCGCTACAACAAAACCCAAGTAGACTCCGCGGGGAAACTCTATTTCGTCCGCGCAGTAAACGGCGAACATATCGTAGAGACGCACGCGGTTCGACGCGTCATCGGCCGTGAGAACTAAACGTGTTCGATCAGTAACTCTACTCACGTCAGTGGACAACGTATATCGCGAGCGTACGGAAGCGCGCACGGTTACTCTCCACAGGTTTTCGATTATTGTGACCATACCCGCGAGTGCTTTAAATGGTTTAGTGTTTTTAAAATTGTGTCATATTTTCTCAATCCAAGAAAAAGGCGCGTGGTGACAAATAGGACCTTAATTTCATGTGATGTGACCCCAACGCGGTTCAGTGACAGCAAATAAAAAGTAAGTGCAACTAAACATGATGACTATGGACATTAGCATGTACGGGCAGCACGACCAACCGCACGCCAGTTCGTATCATCACACGACAACGGATTCGGTTTATCATCCCTATTATAACACCAACGATGCCGGAACTGGATACGGGCAAACAGCTCCTAGTTATCATCAATCAGTAGGATATCACGAAACGTACCACCATCATCATGATGGTTATGGTACGCAAATATTATACGATGGATCGGGAACCTCGCCGCCTCCTGACACGCATTTTTACAGCCAAGGTTCTTTGGGTCAACTCGGCTTGCACCTCGAATCACCGACGGATCCCATCATCAGCACAGATAACGGTCTGAGTTATACGAACCTTGATTATAACAACGGAGGCACGGGTATTAACAACGGACCGAACGGTGCTCTTTACCCGCACCCGGGGTATGATCAATCCCCTGCTTACATGAGAAGCCCCATAGACGACTCTAAAGGATATCCGCATGAAACAGAAGTGGCTTTTCAGGCAATCGACTTCAACCAGCATCATCAACAACAACAACAACAACAACAGCAACCACATTTGCACCACACGCCTCATCAGCAACACCACATATCGCATCAGCAAGTATACGCAAAACAAGAATGCCAACAAAGATTGGCACAACCTCACGGACAACAACCTCATGAACAACCTCAAACAGTTGCGTCGGGGACACCACACAATTCTCACTCTGTGACCACATACAGGTGGATGCAAGTCAAAAGGAACGTACCTAAACCTGCAGGTTCGTATCTCAAAAATGCATCTACTCTACTTGTCATTGAAAGGAATGTTTGCTCATCCGTAGGGAATTTCAAACCAAACTTGTTCTCATCGAACCCACCTCGCGTTTGGTATACCTGCTGACAAACTATCACATGTGTGACTGAAAGAATTCATAAATGAATTGAATCGCAATTCAGCGTAGAATTTTTAAAAATCATTAATCATCATTGTGGCCAAAGAAACATAAATAAACATCGTTTAAATTAAAATTAAACATATTACTGAAAGAATCAAAACAAAGATAAGGAATACTATAATTTCATTCTTCTAGTTGTTAACAAACGCATTCCACAGTTTTCACCCACGTGAAGTTCAATTATTTGATTATAATATTTGGTTTAATGAATGACTTCATCGTAATGAAATCGTTGTATATACAAATTTAAAATAACACGCACAGTTAAAAGTTTAATGAATAGCTATGTCGATTAAGAGCGTGCGAAATTGCATTCCATTGTGCATTCGACTATTAGCAATAACCGCGAATGAAATCGTTATTTATAATTCGCATTATTCAACGTCCAAAAAATCCATAACATAATAATTGCCGATATAAGGCATGTGTTATATTACGCATGGCTGATCATTATCTGAATAATGCATCTAACAAAACGCGTAGGCGATTTCAGATTTTATTTATTTCGTTCAAAGAAATGATAACATTAAAATTCTTCACTATATTAATATATGGATGTTAATGAAAGAATACAGTAAGTGTTTTTACCACTGATCACCTGCATTAAACGGTTTTGGAACAAAGATGTCGATATGAAGTCAGAGACGACTCTTTACAATGAAACAATAATGGGTTTATTAAATATTCTGTTGTCCATACATATTGACACATTTATGCAGTTTCACTTTGAGTCCTATAACTTCGATTTGTTACTTTTATAACAATTAGATGTAACAATGAACTTCATAACATTTTTTCGTTTCATTAGTTTGTATTTACATTCCTTGTATTTCAAATTCTCCGGATATTTTTATGGCCTATTGTCATGATGATAATACATGAACCTAGTATTATTAGAATTAGAAAAACCCAGTGGTTAACCACTGTTTCTGTCAATATTATTACGATATTTTTCTGCAAAAAACAATTGCAGCCCTGAATTATTTTAATTTAATTTAATTTTAAAGTACAAATTGTGAACAGACTTGTGAGATGTCGAAACTGGTCCTATTTTTTATACATCTTTTCGATTAAAATATTAGGCACTAATGTGTTCAGTTCATAGACCTTATACATATGTATTATAAGGTCTATGGTTTAGTTTGGAGATAAAAATTTAAATTTTGAACAATTATGGTATATTAAAAAATCCAATTATTAATATTTTGAATGCAAAGAAAGTCAAATTCGAATGTCGAAGAAGTTTTATAATTATTGTGTGAAGTAAAAATCAATAATAAAAAGCAGAATTGTTTTTTATTAAATTCAAACATTTTTTAAACTGATTTAACCCTTAAGAGTTGAATTTTTTTGTTTATAAAAGAATAGAAAAATATCATTTAAATTCTTATATCAATATGTATTATTTTAAATGCAATTTTCTTTATAGTTAATATTAGAAATTTAATATAAAATAATGAAATATATTTCTTACGTAAGTTTTATAAATTAATTATTTTATAATTATCTCAAGTATTTATATTTCAAGTCAATTCTGAATAGAACAAATTAATAAATGTTAACTCGTTTCATGATCAAGCTCATATTAAAAGTTTCCGGGGTACTAATTTCTTGAAAGACATCAAGAACTTTTGCGTTGTGAATTTATTACCGAATAATAAAAGCTCATTGAGAATGTTGTTCATTGCGTATTATGGTATATAAACAAATATAATATAATAATGTGCGTGTAAAATATAATAATGCGCGTATGTACATAACTATATACTCATATAAACAAAACTTGTAGTTCAATTATGTTATTGCTCATAATCTGTTTTAAAAATCGGTTCACCTGCGATAAGATTCCAAGTACTACGACATTTATATAGCCACTTATATGTTTGGCATTGAAAAATGCTTGGTAACAAGCCACTTCATAAAAAATTAACTAATTTGAAAATAACAATGTTGTAAATGCAAATTTTGATAACACTCAGTTAATGCGACTTGAATAAATTTTTATAAATGTTTTGATATCAAACGAATGTATAATCATTTAACTTGCTTGAATATAAAAATAATAATTTTTAATGAATTCCACGATCACTCTCATATTTCCTACTTTAAGAAAATCTTGTAGTATCCTTTATATTACAATTCGAAAAATTTTTTTACACGGTCGCTATTCTGTTTTTTTTTTTAATTTGTCCTTAGTTCATACGAATGCGACATTATTTTAAATAAATAATGTCCTTTATTTTTTATCGGACTATTTATTTGGAGATCTAATATTATGGGTGTAGTAACGTGCCAATTTTTTAAGACACCCCCTCCCCCCACTTCATCATCTGCTAAAATCAAAACTTTTTCACTATTTCAAATTTTGACATTAATTAATAACTTATAAAAATTGGTAATTGGCCTTTTAATAGTTTAGACCAGAATACACATAATCTCATAAATCATTGTAAAAAAAATCAATTTTAAATATTGTTATTGCACTTATCGTTACAATAATCCTTTACTATATACTTGATTGCCGAAAAAAACAACTTACTCCAATTTATTAACAGATTCTAATAAATAAGACATAATATTTTAATTAAAGTTTATTTTAAGTGAGAAGCGTAATAATTTGTAACTAGTTTTTCTTAATAGATGAAGTGCTGCTTGATAGACATATTTTTGTCATAAAATTTATAAAAATACTGCTAAAAGATACCCTTATTTTGGTTAAAAATTACGTTTAGTTACCTAATTTTTATAAACTCAAATTGTAGAAAATAAAGCATAAAATATTCTATATTATAACTAACGCAATTTAAAAAAAAAAAAATTGTTATAATTATCAATTAAATGCGATGAGCTGACAATAACTATATTATAAAACTACATAAATAGTAAATCAATTAAAGATTTAAATTATAACTACTAATAATTTAATTGTTGTTTTCTTCTTTGCATTATGTTTTTAGATAAAATATTTTGTTCCGTATACGAGTAAAAATTGAAATCAAAAATATAAAAAATATAAAAGATATAAAGGTATTTTAACAAATATTAAATTAAATTAAATTTGAACTAATAAATTCATAAAAATATGAGCGAAATCATATTATATTTTGAGAAATACAAATGACCGTATGTACTACAAGTATCAAGGCATAAAATAGAGTGCAATTTACAGTTGAATTCATATTTCTGATTTAAAAAAAATTGGAATAAAATTATCTATTTTCTAGTGAGGAAACTCATCATATAGAAGTATATAATATAGTATAAGTTCGAAAATATTATTGTGGTAGTATTCAGTAATAATACTTATACTTGTAAAATATTGGGCGAATTTTAAAAATAATACAAAACCTATATATAGTGCAAAAGATATAGTGCAAGCAATACACGTGTAAGTCTCTAAGTCTTTTTCACGGAAGTCATTTCCTCAAAGTCTGTTTCCGCCGTCTCTACAGAAAACAGCTTCGCAAATATCAAATTCGTTTTGTGCATTAGAAAAATTACATCGGGCCGCATTACAGAACTTTCAATGGAACTTGAGACGAGCTTCGAAATTGGTATAATTTTACGCTTACGTACGGATCGTATCAATTTCATGATGATGTTGCTTTAATTGACACGCAGTAAATGAAACTCTGCTCTTTATCATATTTCCATCAAAAACCGACTCCCGCCCGGTGTTCTGCTCCACGTGCCTTCTTCGGTAATATATTCTACAATAAGTAGAAATTTTTAAATTACTAGATGTCAATCAGTGAAAAGATATTTTCCGTAACACAATCAGATTTTTTTATTTGAATTTAACTGCAAATGAGATATTAGTATAAGTATTTGTATCAACTAGCCAATAGTTTCATGTACTTTTTGTCATCAAGAATTATACTCGAATTAGACATTTAAGTGAATAGTATATGTACATATTTTGCCAATAAAATAATTTAAAAAATCAAAATCAGAACTAGTAAATTATAACCAACTTTTTGTGATAAATCAGTCAAATATATATAGGAAAGCTAGGGACTTGTTGTAACAATTTTATTTTAATTATTATATCTTTTATGTTGTGATCCACTGATTATATTTCTATAAAATGAAGATGAATAGATGCTGTAACTATTCATCTGCTAATTATTCATCTACCGAATCCATTAAAATAATTTCATAACAATTGTTCATTATTCCACAACTAATCATTTCCTAGGAAAATGAGCGATATTATAATATAATAATGTAATATAACATAATTGATATTATAATATAATTATATAATATAATTATTGCATAATTATTGAATTTTTGCATATTTTAACCCCATTATTTGTGCTATTCTTCGTTTTTAAATCAAAAATAATAAAATACTACAACTTAATACACTACAACTTATTTTTTTCTATATCTGGACTGTAATCAGAACTATGTGTTCTAGGAGCTGTTCTATCTAATTTCTTACCAACCGTTTTTAGAAGATAACCCAGTGGTTGACCTTAATAACTGAAATCTTAAATTTTAAGTAAAAACTGTTGTCAAAATTCAATATAAAGCTGATCGATACGGGAATAGAATCTGGAATCTTTGGTTGCAAAACGAAAGCTATTACCACGAACCCACGCTCTAGTATATAATATAATAAAGTAGTATTTTAATATATTTTATTGTTTGTTTATTTATATTTTCTTCAAGTCGTTTATTCAAATTTTTGAAATTTATATTAAGTTTCAATTTCCGTAATGTGTTAGTTTCTTCTACGATTACATTGCCTTGTCATTTCTCATAATTTTGCGTAATAAACTTCCCGTAGGGTAAGTTATAGCAATCGTCCAAAGATCGAAAATAATTTTTTTTGCATATCTTTATGTTTCAGAGGTTTCTGAACATTTTGGCATACCTTAGAAAAATTGGATGTAGCATGTAGTATGTATGATGTATGTATATAATTTTTGTCGACGTT